CCTAATAGCGATGGCCTCCAACCTAATAGCGATGGCCTCCAACCTAATAGCGATGCCCTCCAACCTACCCCAAGGAGAACCAGAGGAAGATCGACCTGTTCGAAGACTTGGGGAATCTCTCATTCCCTATCGAAGCTTCACCACTGGCGCAGCAGTCACGTGGTGATGGCTGTTTGGAGTTGTGTGGAGTATGAATGACTGATTTTTTGTGGCGTAGTGGGCATAGAAGGCGCCAGTAAGAAGAGAATAAGTGAAGTGCTAGTTAGTCGTTATCACACAATTCTTGACCTTTGGATCACAAGCTGCCGTGCCATTCGTGATGTCATGGCTGCTTTACACAAACAGAGCAGCTCTTTAAACACGCTTCTGTGGAAGCACCAACAATTTGAGAAGGAAGCGGCATGTTTTGACAGCTTGCAAACTTTGATATTCTTATGCCGGGCGAAGGTAGGATGACAAGAGTCCCAGCGTGTTTCTGTGTTTTATTATATAATGACGTTCCTACCTTGCCTAGCCTGCAGTCAGTGAGGTATTTCAACCAGGGCTTCCGACTTCTGGCAGCCTTCGATTTCCGCCGCGCAGTGATCTCCTTCCGTGCAGCTCAGGATGCAGATGCTTCCTGTGCCTTGTGCGTGTGGGGTGAGGCCTTTGCATTAGGTCCGAATCTCAATAGCTTTGATGAACCCAGGCTGTTAGCAAGTGTGCCCGCCGCCTTCCAAAAAGCGCAGCAAGCTGAGAAGATGCAGAGCTCCAGCCAGCTGGAGCTCGGCCTAATCCGAGCATTGCAGGCACGCTATGTGAGGACGGTGGAGGACTATGTGGAGAATGAATCTGAGCTCACCGCTGGTTTCGCAGCAGAAATGGAAGGCTTGCTCACACGATTCGGAGGGGCTAGAGCTAATCCTAACTTGGCGGCACTGACTGCAGACGCGCTGATGAACATGTCTCCCTGGAACTACTGGATCAATGGACATTTAAGGCCCACATCACTTCGGGCCAAAAGCATGCTCCAAGAAGCTTTGTCTGTGAGTCCCCGCCATGCCTTTTGCATCCACCTCTTAGTACACGTTACCGAGGCCAGTGGAAACCAGACTCTGCTGCAAGAGGTGAGGCCATGGGCAGAGGTACTCCCACAGTTAATGCCAGGAGCACCTCATTTGATCCACATGAGCTTTCATACCCTGATGCACACAGGGGACTTCCACCTGGCAGATGGTGATAACACTTTAGCTACTGAGCTCCCAAGGCAGATCTATCCCATGCACAACTTGGATACGTTATCGTGGCTTTGTCGCATTGAGGGGCGTTCCCTTTGCGCCTTGGATGCTGCGAAGTCGCTTGAACAGAAGGCCTTGCCCTTGATTGGCACTGGGACCTTTGAGACAGGCTTTCCCCCTGCGCGCTTCGCCGCAGTTTGGCCTCTCACCTTGGTGGCCTTTGGCCGTACGAAGCAGATCCTCTCTGAAGGTCTTCCCAGGCAGTGCCAGCAGGACGCCTTCTTGGCTGGCATTTGGCACTTCGCGCGTGGTGTAGCCCTGGTGAAGCAACTGCGAGAGGTGCGAAAGGAGCTAGAGTTCTTACGAGAGAAGAGGATTGAAGTGGAGGCAGGCTTGTCATCTCCACCTGGTATGGCCTGGAAAAACTTCCATGGCAGTAAGCAATGGGCAGTGTATCCTGCGGGGCGAATTCTCCGCTTGGCCGAAGAGGAGTTGGAGGCACGGATGGCGGAGCTGCGTCGTGTGGATGAGCAGGAGCTGTTTCGCTGGAAGGAGGCTTTTCGATTGGAAGCAGATTTGCCCTATGACGAACCTCCCTCGTGGTACCTCCCCGTGGCCGATCGTTTCGGTGAAGCCCTTGCAGCTCGAGGTCAAGTGGCCAGAGCCTGGGAGGTGTTCACCTCAAGCTTGAAGAAGCTGCCCAGGAATGGCTGGGCCATTCATGGGCTTTGGCGCTTGTGCACCGGACAATTTGGAGCTCACAATGCCACCTGTGGTCAGCTGCATGAGGATTTCGTGAAAGCTTGGAGACATGCAGATGTGACCTTGGACATTCAGAACATTCCTCCAGAGGAAGCCTGGGCTGTAAGTGTTGGACCTTGGTGGGTCCTGGCTGCACTGGCAGCTGGGCTGGCAGGGGTTTCAGCGTGGCAGTTGAGGCTGAGAACCAGGTGTGCCTCTTGCCCCCTTGCTTATCACCGCTTGGATGGGTCGTGAGCATCCAGAATTGAACACATAGTACATAGGCCCCATAGGCTGCTTGCAGCAGGAAGGAGAGACCAGATACCGCATTTTACGGCCGTCTTTGCTGTATTTTGTTGCAGGTTTGCAAGAGGAAAACTAAGTCCAAAGCCCGTCAAGATGTTGCATTTAAGTTCTGACTGCAAGGAGGGTTCTTGAGTGCTTGGGAGTGTTTGCACACACGCACACACACACACACATGTTCACTGTACCTGCTTTGTTGCAGAAAGCCTTATGTATACAACGACCATGAATCAGTTGATATAGATTGGACACAAATTCATTGCGACCCCACAGGGGGCCGCGCATATCTCAGGACCCAGTTGACCCCGACGAACCACCACCACCACCCCGACGAACCACCACCCCGACGAACCACCACCCCGACGAACCACCACCACCACCACCACCACCACCACCACCACCCCCATCCCGACCGCGACCGCGACCGCGACTGCTACTGCTACTGCTACTGCTACTACTGCCACTACTACCACTCAGACTACCACTAACACTACCACTACCACCACCACCTTACCACACTTCCATCACACAAAGTCACTCGGGTGAACTGGATCAGCTGGGTTCAACCGGGACAGCACAGAAAAACCGGCCCCCTACGCCGATGCACTCCACAAATGGTCCAAAGTGGTCAAACACTCTCTCCCAGCTCCAGGCAGCACGTTTGTACCGCCTCATGGTGCCTGCGGAGCAGGAGAGAAAGGTGAACGAGGCCCTCCGCAGAGAGTCCACGGAGGGAAAGGCGATCTGACTTGTCATCCAGGCATTGCAAGGAAGCTCAGGCAGGTGGTCCATGTAACACATGCATATATAAGTAATTCATGGACAAATGATTTGTCACGCATACGTTTGCTCCAGGAAGATTGGGCAGGTGGTCCATTTATACGAATGGAAGGATCGTTTCGAGTTGTCAGACACACACACACACATACTCTCTTTCTCGGGCAGATTGTTCATCCAAACCAATGGACTATACTATGCCTTTTTGTCACGCACATTTTTGTTGCCGTGCAGGTCGTTCATTTCTATACGAATGGACAAACTGTTGTCGGACTGGCCACCGGTCGTGTGCTGATGAAGATTGATTAGTTTATGTCATGATTTTCCCTCAAGGCGCTGCTGGGGCCCATCATGCGTTGAAGTAAAGAACGAGAAACACGGTACTCTTTGCTCGTTTTCAGGATGCTTCAGGAGACCCATGTTGAAGAACTGTACATGGCCATACCGCCCAGTCAAGCTTGGCACCTGGTACCATACGCGTTGTTTATCGGTTACGGTTGAAGGATCACTTTCGTAACCATGACGATTTCCCCCCGTTGTGTTGTTGTGCCACCCACAACAAAAGTAATGATTCCCGAAAACTAACATAGACCCTGACAGTGGTCCCATGCATGGAAGACTATTTTCCTCTACCAACCAGGGGTTTTGAGGTTCCATGTTAGTCTTCCGGGGTGTATGTATATACCAGAATTATTTTTGCGGACAGATGTCACATTTCTTGTGTAGGTGTGCCCATGGTTTGTGAAGTTTAGGATGTGTGCTGAGGGGGTTGGGAATTCTGTGTTGCAGAACTGCTCACCATCCCGTTTTTGCACTTGATTCCTCAAACTAGACGAAACAAACCTCGTTTCAGTGTATATGTTCTTTAAACGGGGTGCAGCAGGATTCTTGGCTTCAAGACGATCTATTGAAATCTATCAGATACTGGGTATGTTCCCATGTATGTTAAAGCCGGCCCTGCAAATCAATGATATCTATCGGGCAGCAGGGATGATCTGCCCAATGAACTCCCCAAAATGCCAGGTTCTTAGAACTCACAACACGGAATTGCTTCGGAATTGCTGGGCTGGCCATTTTCGATGCCTGAACGACAGACACGTTGCCGGCCGTTCGAGGATGTCCCTGCTGCCCTGGCCGAGCGGGGACCCCGAACGATGCGAGCAAATCATCGCCAGTGCAAACAAGCTGAAGATCAGTTGAAGAAACACTATACTCACTACACGTGTTCAGTTTTCCTTGGAAAAAGACATCGCTTGGGCGGACCACGTTTTTGCCAAGAGATGAAGGGTCTATAGTCGCTATAAATGAAACAGCGCACCTGGAGGAAATCATGAGAACACCTTTGGCAGTTTGAGCCACACTTGCCGAGATACAGCCGTTTGTTTGAGCAGACCTTGCTTTACAAGAAGCTGCCTGATACCCAGAGGTTTGCCGCTAAGAGACTCAGAAGTATGTGCTTCGATTGAGATCCTCCATGCCAACCACCCTGGGCGCAACAAGTTTCACGTGGCTAGAATACCTATGTCACGAAAGGTAGCGGCTACGCTACCTGAGTTTTCCTTTTGCTTTAGCAAACATGTATTATACCCAGAGCTGGAGCCTATCTCACTGAGAAATGGTCCCCGACATCTTCGTTTGCTGGCCAACTCCACCCTGGCGCGCCTCGGGGTCAACGGTTCGAAAACACTGTAAATACCAGTGTTTTCAGCTCTTCCAGTCCTCAACAGTGACAAAAAATCATGGAATTTACGGCGTTTTTTGTGGCTGTCCGGCAAAAAACACAGCAAAAACCGATGGTTTTTGATGCGTCTCGGTTAGAAAAATGACCGAAAAAAGACCAAAAACCAGGAAAGATTTTGTCGGAAGGGTTTTTGAGGCTTTTGGAGGCTGCAAAATTGCACAAAACTATGGTATTTACAGGGTTTTGTGCACCTTCCCGGCAGAAAAAACGCCGGTATTTATACGGTTTTCTGCGCTTCTCCAGCACACAACCGTGGTGCGCCTCTGGATCGACGGCTACAAAACACCGTAAATACCAGTGTTTTCAGCTCTTCCAGTCCTCAACAGTGGCCGAAAACCATGCAATTTACAGCGTTTTTTGTGGCTGTCCGGCAAAAAACACCGTAAAAACCCATGGTTTTTGATGCGTATCGGTTTGAACAATTGCCGGAAAATGACCAAAAGCCTGATTCCCTGCTACCTTTCGTTCACCCCCCTCCTCTCTCAAGTTCAGCAAGAATTGATGGTCGTACAACGTGCAGGTATTGGTTCCAAAACACTTGGCGATGTGATCAACACATACCAATCACAACCAGACATTTAGCGTTGTAATTTAAAAGTATGTGACTGACTTAATGTTCCTTGCATGCTACTCATGGTTGGGGTGCTTGCGCAACCTCTTTGGGACAAAATCACGGCGTTGATCACAGCACCTTTTCGGGCGCTTCACAGCATTTTGATTTGCTTTTTGAGGCCTGGGAATTCACCCTTAAGCGAGCAGCTCAACTCACGTTTCCAACTCTTGGAGGATGGGGAGTTCGTCCACCGTCGCGTCTCGAGCACAGCTACGAGGATGTTTGGCAGGTGAGGGGTTGACACTGGGCTGTTCGAAGGTCGCAACAAAGGCAACACCAACACTCATAGGCTTGCAGGTGCATGCCCTCCCGTTGGACTGGCATAGAGGGTTTCACTGGTTTCACTTAAATATGCAATTGAAGAGGCATCATTCATGGAAGATCATGGAAGTGTCTCCATGATGTTTGTCATTGTTGTGGTCTTCCTGAATTTATAGATAACGGAACATGTGTCCAAAGCATCGAGTCAAGCAGCTTGAATTGTTGTCTATTTCAGCGCCCACGGGGACCTGCGAGGAACATGTTCCCACCTTGGGGGCTCATGGGAACTGAAGCTGCGAGGACGTTTTGTCCATCAGACTTCTGGCACGGCAGCAGCTGGCAGTCTACAACAAGGTCTGCCAAGTGGTCTGCCATGGACGGCCTCAGTTGCTATGGCAGACTTTGCGGTCAGATTCCAACTGTAGAACACCCTCCTTGCTTTACCGGCGCCTGAGGCGCCGGGCATATACTGTAATGTAAATAGATATGTACATATAGACAACTCATAAGATATAACAATGATATATAGATAATTCATAATATGTTAAGTATATTACTTATATGTGTTTATTTGCATCTTACATGTTTGATTATATTTTATGTAGGTTATATGCATTGCTAGGCCTTAAGCTTCGCACCCAGGACACGTGTTCAGGGTCGCGCGTCGGCCGATCCGACGCGAACCTCGACTGGCACGTCCACCGGTGACGGAGGTGGATCGCCTGGTGGAGTGGGCCAGGCGGAGAAACACCGGACCGGAGGACTGGAGGAGCGGATGTTCGATGAAACCGTTCTTTGTGGGAGGAGATGATGTTGATGTTTTCTGATGTGAGTGATATTTTCATATACTGTATGATTCGTATGATGTTTGATGTTTGATGAAAAGAAACGAGGAGAAAACATGCTTGATGCTTGCTGTCCCAGGCGTCCGATGAGCAGCCGGCGGCCTGAAGGGAGCCAGGCCGATCCCAGCTACAGCGATGCAAACAGCTTGGCAATGATGTGCCGTGCCCGTATGATCCGTATGATCCGTATGCCAAAATGCTGACCGTCGACGTGTGACCACCAGTTGTTCTGCCGGAAGTTGTGAAGAGTTTCCGCAAGAAACTAGATCTCGCTAGTGAGATTCTCTTTCTCGAATATTGTACGCGGGGACTCTGGAAATACAGCCGCCCCCAGTTTGCAATTTGCCTCCTGAGCGCATATATGATGGGGACCTATGTGGAAGGGTGTTTTTTTCGCTGCAGGTGGGGTCTGCACTCACTGAAGCCGCCCCAGAAGTTGCAATACCAAAACCTGGAAGATGGATTTGTCAATAAGGACTTGGAACAGGTGTATGTATGCGTATATGTGAATACACATATTGTTGATGCAATGACAGACTGGTTCGTGCCATGTGTGGCTACAAGTCATCGGGCCAGTTGCACTCGGAGAGGGCGAGAGCGTGTGGCATGTGTGATTGCTCCCCCAGCCCTAATCATAGGATATCATATATATAACAGATGCAGAAAGAAAGAGGAATCAATTTTTTCTCCAAGTTCAAGTTGCCCCATATATTGCCGCAAACCACCCGAGTGCCACAAAGTACAGCTTACCAATAAGAACGCTTATATATAGTTTGCTTTGCACTTGACCGAGTTGCAACAACTGACCAGGAAGCCACTGCTTCGCTGACAATGCTACTTGGCCGTCTTCAGGCTCCATGTTTGTTTGTTTGTTCCGGGAAGATTCCCCTCAATCAAGACATGTTTTATGGGTTGCGCCAAAGTTGGTGGGCCCAGTAGACTCGTGACCTGCTACAGCCTGCTACAGGACCTTCAGTCTGTGTCATTTCTTGACATATCCCTGCCCATGTGGGTTGCTGGGCTTGTCTTACACAGCAAGCACCATCTCTGGATGATGCCGAATCAGAATCCCTCGGGAATCATTGGTGAGAACAGCCTAGAAGACCCTGACTGAGGAACTGTATAAGTCACAACGGTTGTGATTTCTGCAGTTCCTCAGGGTCTTCTAGGCTGTCACAACGTAATCAATTACTGTCAGGATCCTGTAACCCATTGGAGCCACCGTTTCGAGCTGGTGGGCCCGATGTTTCCGAGGCCCATTATCACTGCGGAAGAGCTTGAGGACCTGCAAGGAGTCTCAAAGAGCATGGACACAGGTTTGTGATCCAACCTGGAAAAGCCAAACCGCGACAAAAGCACCAGGCTGTTGTAGAGTTTTGGATCGGGAACATCGCACGGTAACCATTTTTCAGTGATTTGCTGCCAAGTTGAGGAGATGTATGTTTGGGGGATTCTTGGGGAAAGGCAGTAGAGTCTCAGTAGAGTTAGGGCAGCTCAAAACATTGCCATAGGAGTATAGGAGCTCTTCTTTCCTTTGATCGCCTTTGATGTTAGAAGTTTGGTTAGCTGGGAGTTTCAATGCACTGAAACTTGCAGGGCAGCTTACCGACCATACAGTATGTCTGAAACATACCTCAAGCTTTCCTTCCGCAAGAGTTCTCAAGTTCGGGTTTGAAGCGTCCTTTCTCGTCATCGAATCTACCTGATCCCTACCATCGTAGGACTTCGCTGCACCCCCACGGACCTCCCGACGCCCGAAGCCGCAAAGTCTCGATCCTCTCAGGCTGAGGGAGGACTCCAAGGCAGAGGCTCGAGCGACGTGTGAGCAAACCGCCCAAACATGCAATAGAGCAGTTGCGAATCGGAATTGGGGCGCACAAGGTATCCGCACAAACTCGCTGTTGGCGTCCCTCGGGCCTCCCCGGCCGCGGAGGTGGCACCTTCGCATATACCCGGCCAATCAACTCCGACCAAAGACCACTTCCGAAAAAACGCGACGCGAGTCTGGCGGAGACCTGACCAAAAACAGCCGCGTGCTCTCGGCCTGTCACCGGCTTGAGGCGGTGGATTTGCCACAACGTCTCAAGTGGTGTGCTTAAGAGTGTGGATGCAGAGCTGGTTGAGATCTAGCTTCCAATATCCACTATGATCTAGGTATGGGACATGGATTTGTAGAGCCTTGATCTCTTCCAAACCACGACATGCGAGGTGCGTCCCGCTGGGAGGGTTAGCGATCTGAGTCATCCTCACAGAACCCCTGCTGTTGTCGATGAGGATTTGTAATTATATGCGCATATTATACATTATAGAATTCAAAGCTATGCACTCAGTTTGTTGTCTCTGAGCGATGAAAACCCCAAGCACAAACGAACTGCCAAATTATTCGTACTTGGTTTCAAGTGGACACCTCACGCGTCGTGTTGTGTGCTGCTGCTGGCAGCTTGTGAGGTTCGAGTTGACCCTGGGCAAAGTCTCGGTGGACTTGGTGGACGACCAAGCAGACTTTGATCAGGTGCAGCTGGAATTTTCTGGTGCTAGTAAAATAACCAGTGGGACAGGTGTTTGGCAAGATAAAGCCCGTCAATTGTAGTTTGCACATGAACAGCAATGAGCATCAAGATCAGTACGTCATGATACGTACATTCAAAAATGATCATTCCACCCCAAAACAGCATGTCATTTCACTGACCACGAGTCTTTGTTTTACACTAAGCTGTCTATGCCATTTTGTGATCGGCGGAATTGTGACGCTGGTGCAGGCTAAGCAGCTCCTAAGTTGAGACCCTAGTGCTTGGAAAAGAATATGAGTACAACAGGCTCGCAACAGTTGATGTCAATGTTTGATGAAGATGAGGTGTTGTTGGAAGGCAATTACTTCAAACACACTAAAACCGTGTTGCATTTTGCTCGAGAGCTCTGGCTTGTTGTTGCCAGCTGAAGCTCCTTGCACCCAAGCAAAAGAACCTTTGGTATCCTTGCGTGACATCGTTCTGATATCGCAAGACATACCTGGAAGCTAACCAGGACCCCTTCTTGTAGGCGAAATGGGTCTTCCTGGGGCCTACCCCCCTCTCTCTCTCTCTCTCCCAATATATATATATATAAACGTTGCACTTCCTGTTTGCATGTACAGCCCATAAATACTCCGCTAGAGTACTGCAGACACGTGACTCATGACGTGTTTTGGCTCAAGGTGAAAAGGCGTTCCGAAACGTCGAAACCTCGTTTTCATGGTAGCGCACGAGTCCGGTGAAAGTGACAGGGACAAAGCGCTGCGCATAAAGGAAGAAAGACACGGTAAAGTCGAGAGCTCCGAGGAGGAGGAGCTGGGATCCTCGGGAGCGGCAGCTTCTGCCGCCCCGAGTGGAATAGGAGAGGAAGGAAAAGTAAAAGAGGAGGAGGAGAACCAGCCTTTGCCAGCCACATCAGCGGCGGATCCAGCCGCAAGTACCACTCCAGCGGCTGAGAAGACCGCAGAAACAACTTTAGCGGTTGAAAGGACCGCAGAAACAAAAGAAGAGGAGGAAAACACTAAAGGAACAGAAGGACCAGGAGAAGAAGAAGAGCCTGAACAAGATCCAATAGTTGAGCCAGGGGCTGAAGCGGCTGATCCAGCCGCACAGCCGTCATCTGGCCGAGTTATCGCCGACTTCATCACATCCCCAGAGGGTATCAAAACAGGTTGGGAAGTTCGTGGCGTTCACGCCAAATATACCCCAGCCAAAGTCGATCCCAAAGCACCTTGGAGGAAGCAGGTGAAGAAACAGATTTGGGGCCAAGTCAAGAAGCACCCAGAACCAAAGTCCGGATTCCGACTTCGAAGCAGAGTTTCGCTTCAGTATCGGAAGCTCAAGTAGGACCTGGTCAGGTTACAGAAGAAGCAAGGTGTTATCACAGAAGACTTGAGAAGGACTTCGGGAAGGAGCGCCCGCCACAAGAGATCAAAGAAGAGCGGGAGGAACAGAAAGCCCGCAACAAAGAGAGGCGAGCCAAGAAGAAAGGTGAAGCGGCTGATACAGCCGAAGAGAAAGAAGAAGAGAGCCAATCGGAAGAAGAGCCTTCCGTGAGATTGAAAGAACGAAGCCGCAGTCCAGTGCGGCAGCCTCGAACTCCAGACGGGCCGCCACCGGCCCGCCGACCTCAGAGCCGCGATACAAATCGTGGCCGAGCGGTTTGGGGTCGAGCTTTGGAACTCAATCTCCGAATCATCACCTTGGCCAATCAGCGAGCCCAGAATCAGCCGATCGAGAATTGGAAGTTGGAAAGTCCATTCCAAGTGAGGAAGATAGCGGCTGACGAGTTAGTGGAATCAAGGGGCTTGAAGGGATCCATCGCACTTGCCGCAATCCGAGAACTTTGGAAGACTCCGAACGAACAAGGCAAGAGAGGATCCGGTGAGGCTTGCAGCAGCTTCCGGCAGTCCAAGCCTATATACAGAAGATGGGATTGAAAGGTCCTGCAAGGCTTGGAGCAAGGCAAAAGTTGAGCCTAAGGCAAAAGGAAAGGCCAAAGCAAAGGCCGAGGCCGCACCTTCGATCGGCCGCAATCCAGAGGAGTTGACCTCTTCGGGAACCCGGACCACTTCAGAGGTCCGTGTGATCCCAAAATCTCCTTCTGATCCTTCCCAAGGGTGAAAGCCCTTGGACCGGCCTGGAAGGTGCGAGAGCAGCGCCTTCACGGTTGAGATTAGGGAACCATGGCGTTGGAACAGCAGATCCAACAGTTGTCTGATATGGTTTTGCAACTCCAGCAAATGTTGGCTTCAGCAGTAGGAGAACTGGCTAAGAGCCTTGAGAAAAAGGAAGATAGACGAAAGTCCCAAATACTTATGGACACCAAGGGTTTGGGACGACCTGAGAGTTGTGGAAATGTTGAAGGGGAATTCCGAAAGTGGGCCAGGAGCATCGACAACCTGTTCATAACTACCTTTGGGAGAGAGTTCATTGAAGTTCTTGAGTATATTTTGGAGCAGGAAGACGCGATTGAAATGAGTGCCATGGAGTCCGCGTTTGGGACTGGTACCACAGCGGCCATAGACGACCTAGAAGACAAAGCGGGCCAAATTCATCGCGTCCTCCTGACTCTCACTTCCGGCGAAACGGAAGATCTCATGGTAGGAGCCTCAAATGGTTTCGAGGCATACCGAAACATCCTCAGGGCTATTCTCCAGCCAGAGCGGGTCAAAACTTGGACCGCCGTGAGGCCAGCCATCGAACAGCTGGAAGAGCTGATCAGGAGGTACGAAGCCCGGCGAAACGCATCGGGAGCTAGAGAGACCTTATCGGACGACATCAAGTCCGCTTCATTGGAGATGCTGGTACCCCCGGATTTGGAGAAACATCTTTTGTTGAACAAGAGTAGATTGACATCCTATTCATTGATCAAACCGGAGATTGAACTTGTCATTGAATCATCTCTTACATCAAAGTCATCTGTTCCAAAACCAGGTTCATCGAGTTCTAGTTATCAAGGACCTCAACCCATGGACGTCGATTCGATCGGACAATGGATTGCGAGCCTAGTCAAAGGAAAAGGTAAAGGAAAAGGTAAACAGGCCAAAGGCGATGGAAAGAAAGGCTCAAGCAAAGGAGGCTCAAGTAAAGGCTCAAACCCGGCTCAAGATATCACCTGCTACAATTGCGGTAAGAAGGGACACAGAACGGCCGATTGCTGGAGCAAGAAACGGCCGGATGGAAAAGGCGATAAATGGTCAGGTTCAGGCAAAGGAGATAGGAGTGGCAAAGGTGGCAAAGGCAGTAAAGGCAAAGGTGGAAAAGGCGGCAAAGGTAAAGCCGCAGGAAGCATGGAAGAGATGGACGATCCGGACGATGGCATTGAGCCAGCTCCGGAAGCAGATGTCGGAATGCTCATGGCAGACTTGAGTGGAGTTGGAATAGCGGATACTTCATCCGCCGAAGAATGGATGAAGTTTAACCTGGACACTGGAGCAGCCCAGACAGCCATCCCGAATGGCTGGGAGGACCGAGTGGTTGTCAGTGAAGGCAACGGGGTTGTTTTCACGACTGCATCAGGAGAGTTGGTGCCCAGCCAGGGCATTGGAACCTTTGAGGGGTTCGATGAGAGCGGCAACAAATGCCGTGTGAAAGGATCAATGGCCGATGTTCACAAGCCATTGATTTCAGCATCCAAGTGCTTAGGCTTTGGAAGGATTGCAGTTCTTGATGTGAATGGCGGAAGCTTGATTCCGCAAGGGTCCAAAGTTGGAAAGGCTGTTCAGGCGATCCTGGAGAAAGCGAGCGCTGCAGAGCAGCGGAATTGGATCCCTGTGTATCAAGAGCAGGGAGTGTACAATTTCTACTTGGGAAAGCCAGGGTATAAGCCGACCAAGGAATGCTGTGGCATCGCAGAGCTGAACGCCACAGGTGAGAGAAGAGATGCTTCTATGGTTTCAGGCCGACCTGGTCCAGAGAGGCAAGAAGAGGATGATGAGTTGGAATTAGTTGATGAGGTTGAGAAACCCATCCAGATAAGAGCACCGGAGGATCCGACTCCGGCTGAGATTGAAGAGCACGAGGCGACAGGCCATGTGCAGTATCGGAATTGGTGCCGGCATTGCATTGCTGGACGGGCTGTAGGACAGCCACATCGGACAAGGTCCGAGGAACAGAAGGCAAAGAGCCTTGTGCCCACAGTGGCAATGGACTCACGGGGCGGTGTGGAGGACGAGCGAGTGAAGCCGATCCTCGTGGTGAAAGATGAGAGGACACAGTCCTTAGCGGCGACCTTCGTGGACTCGAAGGGAGCGACGCCGTATGCAGTGAAGTTCGCGGCAAACTTCTTGAAGAACTTGGGACACCGCAAGGTGGTTCTCAAATCGGATGGTGAACCATCCGTGGTAGCCTTGAAAGAGGCTGCAGCCAAAGAAACCGGCATAGATTGGATTTCGGAAGAATCGCCAGTAGGAGACCATCAAGCGAATGGCCTGGCAGAGAACGCCTGCAAGGAGGTCAAACGTCAAGTACGAGTCCTCCGCAGTGCGTTGGAAGAGAAGCTCAGTAAAGAGCTCAAAGATGATGATCCTGCATTGGCATGGCTGCCAAGGCAGGCGGGAGACCTGCTGAGCAGGTACAAGAAAGGTCAAGATGGCAGAACGCCTGAGACCAGAAGATGTGGGAAGCAGTGGCGGAAACCCGCCATAGCTTTTGGTGAACGCCTATACTTTAGAGAAGTAGGCGAGGGAGTTCGCATCCTGAAAGAAGGACGCTATGTAGGGCACCACGGCCGAACAGGATCCATTTTGGTGATGATGGCCGATGGCGTGCGCAGAGGCACAGGAATCCGGCGGCTGAGTTCAGCCGACCGCTGGGACCCAAGTGGTTGGGACCTTTTGCGGGGCTTACCGTGGGAACACTCCGCGGCAAGGCCTGCCGGTGAGCAGTTGATGCTCGAAGAGCGTCTTGTGGTACCACTCTTAAAGAGGAACGAGTGGCGCCACCACAGCAGAGGCGAGTGTACATCAGGAGAGAGGATGTGCACAAGCATGGGGCCACAGAAGGCTGCCCAGGATGCAAGTGCATCTTGGAAGACAAGAGGACGACCTTGCCACACACAGAGGCGTGCAGAGCAATCAAGGATCACCGAAGCAATGGAAAAGGATGAAGCTGGGCAGGCGAGACTTGAAGCCCATGCAAAGAAGAGGAAAGAACGGCAACAGCTTGACACTGTGAAGCCGAAAGTCGTGTCCGACAAGGACACAGACATCGCGGCCGAAGATGCGGCCGGAGAGCCAGAGAAGAAAGAAGAAGCAAAGAGCGCAGGATCGGGAAGCCCGCCGCCAACAGCGGCAGAGGGTGAGAAGACCTATCCCGATGACCCGAAAGAGAGATATGAGATGAAGAGACAAGCAGCCGAGATGGAGAAGAAACCAGTGGCGAAAGCCAAGGTAGCAACAGAGCCCAAGAAGAGAACAGGAGAACTTAGGATAGATCCACCCGGGGCAAAGGTCAAGCCGAATCCAGCCCAAGGAACAAAGAGGACGGCAGAGACTGCCGTAGAAGACCTTGATCCCAGGGTGGAAGAAAGTCCGAAGAAAACGGGGACGTTTTCACATGTTCCAGAGACACCACCTGCAGGGTGGAAGCCAGATGCAGCAAGCTTGGCGAAAGAAAAGGAGATCGCAAAGCAGCATCTGAAGAAGATCATTCAAGGAACCTATGAGGCAAATGGCATCGAGATCACTGAGCAAGAGATCGGAGACATCGCGCATTTGAGCATGCAGATGTCAGCAGTAGATATTCTGGAAATCTACTCGCCCAAGAGGTTCACCGCGCTTGCAGAGCGGTACAAGTTGCGACCGGGTTTCGCGGTCGACTTGAATGAAATGAAGAAAGATGGAACATACTGGGACTTGAACAAGTCCGAAGACGTCCAAGAGGTGCACGACATCTTAGAGAGAGACGAACCGGCTCTCTTGACTGGTTCGCCTCCGTGCCATATGTTTTCGCAGCTCCAGAACCTGAACTGGAGAAACATGGCACCGGATGTCAGGAAGAAGAAAATGGACGAAGCCGTCCATCACCTTCATACGAGCGTAGAGCTGTATGTCAAGCAGCATCGCTCTGGACGAAAATTCCTGCATGAGGCACCATGGGCCGCAACCAATTGGAAGGATGAGAAGGTTGAGGCCTTAGCAAACGAAGATGGAGTGTTTGTAGTGAAAGGTCCAATGTGCAGGTGGCAGATGATGGCCACCGACCGAAGAGGACTCCAAGGCACCGGCTATGTGAGAAAGGAGACCGGCTGGATGACCAACGATGAAGGGTTGGCTCGAGTCTTGCAAGGAGTCTGCTCGAATGAATCGGGCAAAGGACCATGGCACCGACACATCCACCTGATCGGAGGCATTGCTAGGCAGGCAGCGGTATACCCACCGCAGCTCGTGAAAGCAGTGCTGAGGAGCCTGCGTGACACGCTAGCAGAGAAAGGTGAGTTGAACACCTTCGATCTGTTCGCAGCAGGCCCAGGTCCAGAGATACCTCTGTTGGACCCAGAGTTCGAAGAGGTCTACATGGATGATGTGAACGGCGGCATTTTGCCGGCCGAGAAAGTGAAAGAGGCAAGACGCCTCGAAATGGATTATTTGAAAGAGAAGCATGGCGTCTATGTGACAAGACCAAGAGCTGAATGTTTTGAGGAAACGGGGAAGCCCCCGATTCCAGTGAGGTGGTTGGACACCAACAAGGGAGATCCAACAAACCCAAACTACAGGAGCCGATTAGTTGTGCGTGAGATCAAGGCAAGAAAGACCAAAGAAGAACAATTGCCAGCCAACTTGCTTTTCAGCAGCACGCCCCCACTAGAGGCGATGAGACTGCTGTGCTCGTTGTGGGCAACAAAGAGAAAGTCTTGCCACAACCAGCCGCTGAAGCTGGGCTTGTGGGACATCTCACGAGCACAGTTTTATGGAACTCCGAAGAGAAAGATCTACATAGAGCTGCCACCTGAGGACGAAGCCAGCAAAGATGGACAGACCTGTGGACTTCTCGTTGTACGGGACACAGGACGCTCCAAATATCTGGCAGACGCACTGTACCAGAAGGCTGGTTTCCGCAGAGGGCTGTCAAATGCGTCAGTCTTCTACCAAGAAGCTTGTGACGTCAGGGTAATGGTGCATGGAGATGACTTCCTAGCACTTGGAGACGCCCAACACTTGGAGAAGCTCAGCCAAGTCCTCAAAGATGCCTATGAGCCGAAATGTCTCGGGATTCTTGGAGACGAGGATGGAGACCGAACAGAAGCCCATTTTCTGAATCGGTTGATCCGAGTCGAAAAGAAGAACGGCAAAGGATCGATTGTGATCGAAGCCGATCGGAGACATGTTGATCTTTTAATCCAGGCATTTGGTCTGGGAAAGGCAAATGGTGTGGAATCACCAGATGTCAAGAAGTCGGCAGATCAGCAGATGCTGGAAAGCCGCAGTCCGCTGCTTGATAAGAGCGAGGCATCGAAGTATCGTTCAGCTACGATGCGTGCTGCGTATTTGTCCCAAGATCGACTCGATATTGGACACGCAGTCAAGAACCTTGCTCGAGGTATGGTGTCGCCGACAGAAGCCAAACTTGCAGACTTGAAACGTCTCATCAGGTACTTGAAGAAATACCCTGATGTTGGGCAATGTTTTGGCTCACAGCAGGTACCCTCAAAGCTGAGGGTCCAGGTCGACGCTGACCACGGTGGAGATGCTGTGACACGCAAAAGCACGACTGGCATGGTTGCCATTTATGGCACACACGTGCTGAAACACAGCAGTAACATCCAATCCACCATAGCCCTTTCCACAGGCGAGAGGGAATACTTCGCACTCGTGAAGGGCGGATCTGTGGGCTTAGGACTTCAAAGCCTGTGCGCAGATCTTGGTTTGGATTTGGAAGTCACCATAGAAGGCGATTCCAACGCAGCCAAAGGAACTGTGAACCGAGTGGGTTTGGGTAAAGCCAGACACATCCAAACTCGCTACCTATGGTTGCAAGAAAGGATTGCCGAAGGCCACTTGAAAGCGCACCACGTTCCAGGTGTCAAGAACAAAGCCGATGTGTTGACCAAATCGGTTCCTGGGGTGCAACTTCGCAAAACCATGGAGGACTTGCAGTATGCATTCCTCAGCAAGCGAAGCAAAGGACAGTTGGATGTTTTGGAGTAAGGTCCCTGGCCAAGCTCCACTACCACAACTGAAAGTGGCTCAGCAGCGGGAAATTTCACATACTTTCTTTAAGCTTGCGCAGCAGTACAGTGCTTTGTAAGAGGAGGAGTGTTTGCATGTACAGCCCATAAATACTCCGCTAGAGTACTGCAGACACGTGACTCATGACGTGTTTTGGCTCAAGGTGAAAAGGCGTTCCGAAACGTCGAAACCTCGTTTTCACTTCCATGATTGCTTCGGGGTAGGTCTTCAAACAGGTCTGTGCTCATCTAAGAGTCACAGATTCGACACGTTTCGGCACTCCGGCACTTAGACAGCTCGGGTGAAGGCACGAGGTGAAAGCTCAGGTCTAGCTTTGAAGGAAGCGACCTGGGAAGCTCGCACCTCAGAAGAACACTAGGTATGCCAAGAGCGCATAGCACCCAGCTCCTTGGACAAGATGGCTGCAATGGGAACTGTGCATCTCATGGTTTGTGCATCTCATAATGTGGAAATGACTCGAGAAGTATAGCTATAACATGGCTGAAAAATATGTGTTTGTCACGGTGAAGGAGCAGCCACTGGAGCAGCCTTGACTTAAAATTAGAATCGCACAGGTCGGCCCGAAATGCTTTGGACATGGTCTATAACTGTTTTCCATTCGCGCCGAACCTCATTCGACGGAGCGGATCTCAGGTTGACATTCACTTGACAGACCACCGAGGGCAGGATGCGGCTGAATGGCGTTCGAGCCTTCGGGAGTCAGCTTCGATTTGAAGCAATGTTGGCACCACAATGGTGGAGGTTCAACGCTTGAGACGTGTATACAGCCACATCAACCACCGCAGGTCCCGGTGTAGGGCGATACTTGCAGGTCCCGTTCACTCATGAGGACAGGACCTCGAAGGGGAACACATTTCATTGGAGTGTCAGGTCTTGAGGGGAAGTTCCAGAACCTTGAGGCGGCGGCAGTCTTCTTTTGTAGCATGCGGCTCGAGGAGCCCCATTGGACCAACCTAATTAGATATATTTTTATGATATACTTGAGGTTGCTCAAGTTTGAGTCGTGAACAGGCCAATAAATCACAGTTTCTTGCAAAAACTGTGCCGGCCTGGTGGTTTCTCATATTTCTAGCGCACAGGTCGCTTTGTCTTTGTCACTTTGCCCATGTTCTGGAGACCAATGGCAGCCGGACATTCTTGCCCGGATGGGATTCCATGATGCGCCATGAATGTTTTGTGTGGAGTTTTTCTGGAGCAGCTACAGGACCAAATTTAATCTATATGTACAATTTTGCACCAGGTCACTCTCCCCAAAGGTCAGAATTAAAGGCAGTGTAATCAAAGTTTATGTCAGGCACGATCGAACCAGTTTGCCTTTGCCCCTAGGCATCCTTAATTTTCAGCCGTTAAGAAGTCGTGCAAAGACATAGCACAGATACAAGCCAGCCGAAGATCGCATGCAGAAACATGCAGAAACAGTTCAATGTCAATGTGTGTGTGTGTGCCCTGCAATGCCCACAATCAGGGCCATTTACGCCAATGGGCACGGGCAGCGTTGTGGTGAGACGGCTCCGGCTTGCACCAATTGGTGTCCAGCTCCAAGCGCTCCAGCTCCGGCTCGCACTGCAGGGCCCAGCTCCATTCAGACCCTGCGTGGCAACCTGTGTGGGCGCGAGGTGGCCCTAGTTCTTTGTGGGGAAGCCCATGAGGACGCGGTGGACCTGACTCGTACCAAAAGCATCCTTGAACCGACGATGGGTTGGGTCGACACCAGCGATGCCTTTCTTCTACGGAAGATGAGGCACAGCAGGAGCAATGTGACCCTGCAAGTCGCCAAGAAGTGGGCGTCTCATGCCATGACGTCTGAGAATGACGGAGTTCTTCTGCTCTTCCACATGGTGGACTCTGTGAATGGTGTTGGGACAGCTAAGGTCTTTATGCCACAGGAGATTGAGGTGAAGCCTGGAGAGCAAGAGGAGAACACTCAGTATTTTCTTTGGAAAGACTTGGATCCAGATGCCAGGTATATTCACGACAAGAAGGCGAAAGGAATCGAGGTCCTGCCTGAGGAACACGATTCCATCATTGCCCGCCGCAAGAAGCGGCTGCGCATGGAGGGTGTGGAACTCTTCGATGACTGGTTGATTAGAGCTGGACGTTTGCCGCACGTGGAAATCATTTTGGAAGGTCCCGTCCGGTCAACTGAGGTTGAGCTGCATGAGGATCCAGACACGGCCCCAGCTCCCATTGCTGATGAAAGTTGTCAAGCTATGGAACTGGATAGTGGAGAGGAATTTGCAACTCTCTTAGACCAGGACATGAGATCACTTCGATTTTTGGCGGAGGATGGCACTGGTGCCTTCCTGCAGTACTTAGTACGGCGTGTGAGGGACAACCTCCCTTCAGAGCGCGTCCATTTCTTCGAGTTGAGGGAGCTCGGCAACCCGGATGACGACGAAGTGAAAAAGGAGTTCCAATGCCTTGTGCCGGACGGTCAGCTCATGGATCTTGAAGAAGAGTGGTTGGAGGAGCTGCAGTTACCAGCACCTCGTGTCAAAACGGGTCGGCATGGATCATGTGGCGTACATGTGCGCCATGTGGTGCCTTCATGGGAAGCATTCTTTGGTGCTGCATCGGAGTTGCTGTATTTCTCTCCGCATGTCCGTGCTGATTTTGTACCTTTTCTGGCTTGTGTCATGAAAACTCCGGAGGCTCCAACACGACCCAAGGATTGGGTGCTGAAATTCTTTGAACATCTCTACTGCGGTGTGATCGCCGATGCCCTCGCCATGCTTCGCTCCGATCCCACGGCACGTGCCTTCCTGCGGCTTCGCTCCGCGGTGCACCGCCCGCCCGGCCCGCGCGGCCGCGGTCACCGGTCGTTGGTGCGGCGACAGGACGTGCGGCACCTGGTGCCGGTGTCCGTGGCGCCGGTGGATCGATATCTCAAAGCGAAGGCGCCCGGGGCACCCAGGACCTGGGTCTCTGCCCTGGCCGAACGCGTGAGATGGAAGGCACCGGAGCTGGTGGAAAAGGCACAGCAATGGTACTTGCAAGTCACGGAGAATCTCTTGGAAGATGCTAGGTGTGCTTTGTGCTCTTCTTACAACATGTTGTTTTCCGATTAGAGGGACCCCCCATCCAGTTAAACTGTTAAACCTTTTTCCAGCTCACTTCCAAGATCTTCCAAGGATGTCAAGGAGAAGGACCCCGAGGGTGACTACTTCGTTGCGTGGCTTCGCGAGGCTCATCGTGACATTTTCGAGGATATCGATGTGAACAATCCCAATTTGCTGCGGAGAGTGAAGGAGATGCCCAGCTTGTCCATGCGGACTCAGTCACGCAATTTGAGTGGGATCCGGATACCTTTCTTTGATGAAGCGATGCAAGAAATCTTGTCTTATGATCCAAGCTCTGGCCCAACTACTCGCAGGCAACGTGTATTGGCGAAGATTATCGTTGATGCTTTCCAACTGCGCATGGTTGACCTAGCATCCATCCTCATTGTCATGGATCGTGCTTTGGCCTTTCCTGAAGGATCTGAGGTGGTGATCATCATGTATACTGGGGCCGATCATGCCCGAACGGTCCAGCACTTTTATCAGGACCTCGGTTTCACTGGTTGTCCTCTACCTCAGAAGGGGCTTGTGGGGAAGGACGAGTTCGGACCACGCGAACCGAGAGGGTTGCGGCTTCCCACTTATTTGCACAACTTCGGTGAGCTGTTCGGCAAACATCGAGCGGCGGATCATCAGAGAGCGACGGCAGATCATGGCTCGTGCCTGTAAGGCCTTTTGGATGAGGTTGTTTGCCATTTTGCCTTCCACGTCGAACGCATTTAAGGGTATGGGTCCATCATACCAAGTTAAGACGGACATCCATTTAGTTCATCTATCTAGCTTGGTGTTCTCCAGCGAGTTGCACTTGTTTGAAGCATGTTTGAATCTTGTCATTCTAGGTTTTACCGAGGCAACTCATTGAAACCCGGTGTGCCCCGCGACCCACATTTTTTTGAGGGCTGCGGGGTTTCTGGAGTTCTGAAATCAACAGGAGTCTTCGGGAGGGGTTCTTCCCCTACATCCGAGTTTTAAGCACATGAATCGTCATGAAGTATAAAAACTGTGAGGGATCGTTTGTTGATCTGCATCTTGACTGATGCCTCCATATGCCTCCTAACCCTGGAGCTTCTTGAACACGGTCTAATTTTAAGGTTAGCCAGAATCTTTAACCCGATAGGATCAACTGCGACCCTTTGTAGAATTGATTCAGGGCCTTGGGTCTTGATTGTTGGGCTGATGGGATTTCAGGCGAACATGGAAATCAATGCTGAGGAGCTACCTATGTTTCAGGTATCAGCATCCTGCTTGCCCTCCGAAGCCACTTTTTGGTTGCGGGCCGGGAATGTGTTGATTGTTTTGAGTGGATATGTTGCTATATTGGCAGTACTTGGATGCCTACCTTGTTTTTGGCAGAGGCCACCAAGAGCTGCAGCAGCCAAAATGGTCAAACCAGCAATCAGAAAACCATATCATGCAAACCAAGAAAGAGAGCAATTAATTGTAGAGTTGGCTGGCCCGCCATGACCAGAAACCCGCGCGTGCCTTGTTTGCAAAAAGCTGCCGAGATATTCATAGGAGGGCGAAGTCACGCGTGTGGACATTTAGCCACCTACCGGACATCAATCCAAAGGGTCACTTGCTCTCGATCAAGACTCCTGCACCACCCCAACAATTTTGGGCTCGTTCATTTTGGAGGCTAAGACAGGACAAGGTATTTGTGTCAATGGTCACTACTGGTAGTTCTTTTTGCAGCTGTTGGCGTCCAAGCTGCATCCGAGGCGATGTTGGCCCTTGTGGTGCTCATCATCGCCAATGTAGCAGAGGCCAGGCATGGTAAGGCATCGCAGCAGGCCGCCGCTCACGTAGGCCCCGGGGCCCCATCGTAGCTGGCGAACTTGCCAAACGTCGCTGGGTGATGCCAAGGAATCAGTTCAACATTCACCTGAGATGATCAATCCAAATAAGACAAACAATATTCACCAGCATACATCAATCCCAATCACAAAAGACATCAAATGACAAAAACATATCTATGTGTAAGTTATATGTTTTAACAGGTCTGGTGGGTGCAAAGAAAAGACTGGTGGCAGGCCCTGGCGACCGCAACTCCCGCTGGTGAGCTGAGAGCAGCAACCTCAAAAAATGACTCACGCGGCTTGCGTCACGCCAGCGGAGCGACTGTGTGAAGGACCTGGAGGAGCATCGATCATGTCGTAGTCAAGATCGCCACAAAGTGATGTTGATGGTGTAATTTTCAGGTCTGGCTTGCATGGCTGAAGGCCCAGGCTGACATTGCTAAGGAATTATGCAGCTGGTGGATTGACACTTTGTGCGGCATGGATTTGAAGTTCGAAAATCAAGAACGTGTGTTACGCGCTTTTGACCTGTGATTCAAGCTCAGCTGTTGGCCAATTCTGGTTGAGGATTCTGGCGAAATCCAATTCAATGAAACCTCATGAGCGCCTTTGTTGGACGTCCAGTCCGTCCAGTCCGAGCTGGATCTTCAGAGTGCCTCCGCTGCCGAGGCCTTGGAGTCGGAGTTGCAGGCGGAAAAGCGCATCCTCTCAATGGCCACTTGGACAGGTGACCGGTGACAGGTGACCGGTGTCATGTCCATGTCCACACCACCAGGCACACCGGCCGCCTGGAGCTTCCATCAGCTCGCGGGGATCAAACCCGGCCTCCGTGTGGGGATCGGATCATGTAGAAACACGGCTCCGTGGAACCACCCTCATTTTGTATGCAGCCAGCCTTGTGTTTTTTCCTTGGGCGTGAGCAATTGCAGAACCAAGTTTATGTAGCTAGTGGACCCTCCCTTGCTTCTAGTGGTTTAAACCGCAATAATTACTGATACCCAATGTAAAACACAAATGAACCAACTTTATTTTGAGTCTATTATA